AGTCCCCATACTTGTTGACTGTGATCTTCTGAGATGTGATGTTGCAGTTTTGTAGGTGGTAATCATTGTTTTGGAGGAATGTTGGTAGCCACCTACAAGACTACATGGTGTTACAATTCAGAAGACAACTGACAAATTCATCTTCATCAGAATCTATTGTCTCAGACCCTACATCTGTCTGGTTTTCTTGAAATTTTAGAGTCATGGTGCATGTGTGCAAGGTATATGAATAATTCTTTTATACTTTTGCAGTCATTAATATGGATCAATGGAATAAGGGACTACTTTTTATAAGAAAACAGAATAGTCAGCAGTATTGATCTTGTTCCCTGTTCTTTTGACAGATATGCAAATTCAGTGGGGGCCAAACACTTCCACACATCAGCTAAACTGAATCAAGGCATTGAAGAGATGTTCTTGGAATTGAGCCAGAGGATGATTGAACGAGCACAGGAAAATAATCAGCAGAGAGCAAATTCTCTGGGGCGATCAGGCAGCACACGACGCAATGTCGTGGTGGTAGAGGATGAAGATGCCATTGCACAGTCAAAGTCTGGGTGTTGTGGAGGGGTATCCACTGCATCCTAACCTTTACCATGTACCTGGGATCAACCCAGCTTGTATTATATTGTATTGTTACGAGTTAAGGCTGACACGGCCAACATGGCTGCACCTACTACTTGGTGTAATGTTGCAGCAGACCTTCAGATATGGCCAAATATAACTATATAAATATGTTTAATAGAATTCTCATCATTTGAGCAAGTCATTCTGGTTCCAGTGGATCACTTTTCTGATATGAAAACAAAAAAATATTTTCTTTGTATAGTATTCAGTATTCTTACAATAAAATGCCTGAGAACAAGTTGTTTGTTTAGATACAGTACAGACAATAAGGAAATAATTTAGAAATTTTTTTATTTAAAATTTTATGATTTAATACCTTGGTTCAACTTGGCTTTGTACAGTAGGGATGAGCTTGATACCAAATATGTTGCTTTGAACAGAAAAGTTACTGTCCAGTGATATGAATTTATCCCTATCCCTTGGTGGAGTAAATTGTTTTGTAGTTTGTACATAATAGTCTGTATCAATAAAATTGTGTCAGCAGGCTGATATTACTAATTAAAATGATAAGTTTCCAGCTTTCGTGACAGTTATCAGTGAATCTTAATTCTTATTTCATAAAGGTCTTAATATTTTTATTCCATTAAAATATGATTTGATTCCTCAATTTGATGATAGGTCGCTTTACCTGCCAGCAATTTTTTGACGTAAATACGTCTATATTTTAGGGTCAGTGACATTCGGCAAAAAGTGAAAGGAAAAAGTGTAACTGCATTGTTATGTTACTTTGGAAATGTCAGTTGTTTACTAGGCATTATTGTTACCTAGCAAACGTCAATTGTTTACTCGGCATTATTGTTACCTAGGAAACTTCATCTGTTTATCAACAAATCGACAATAATGGTTACCTTACCTTATATTACCCTACCTTACCTTACATTACATTCAGCTACCACAGACCCATCTTAAGCGTAACTAATTCAAGTTGAATAAGCAATGTCTTAATCAAACTTATCTCAATTGTAAAGCATGTATAAAGGAAATAATTAGAATAAAGCCAATATATAAACTTCCTTTCCGTATAGACGTATTTACGTCAAATTCTCCGGAACCATGGTTCCACTGACAACTTTTTAAACTTGTTTAGTGTACAGCATACATGCACCAGTTCTGAAGCATATTGTATGCCACAAACCTATAGTTTTATTTTATTTGGATGAGTGACAGATTCCTTCATCAGATGTGCATCAACACAAAGACTAGTAATTTTATGAGGTTACCACATATGGGCTCAAGGAGGGAGTTTCTGACCCCAATGGATTTTTCCATTTCAGTCTTGAACTTGGAAAACATTGGCCTTTAAGTAAACTGTCAAAATAAATGTACAGAACATATGTATTTATATCAGTCGTGAAAATTATGTTGTCTTCTCTCAACACATTTCGTATCCCTGACTTATTTGTGGACACCTGTTGATGATTCTGTCTTAAACATTATGTTAGGAAAGCAGCAGCAGCTCTTTTTATTTTTAATCTCAGTCCTTATATACATCCTATAGTGTTTATCCAGTGTGCATATGTTGTAATGGGATGAAATACAGCAAAACCTTGGTAATCTGGCCACTTTTGATTAGGATATTGCATAATCTTGATTGCACTTGCTCAGATCTTTGTTCACATCCATATAATGGAAATCATTTGCACCATCATCTTGAAATAAATACTTTTTGTGCCCAAAAAGTGTGTGAATCATGGTATCTAATAAAACTGAATGTAATGGAAACATGTGAAACAAGAAAAAATTATTGACAAGTTAGATGTTGTGTTTTAACTTTAATATGGAAACAAACTGTCATCAGACAGAATAAAGAAAAGATTAACATATTTGATATTTAAGTTGAACTGTGATGGTGGAGTGGCAAGTAGAGAATGATTGTCAGCAGCAGCAAAGATCTAGGGAACTGAAAATCTATAGCCTTTTTAAGCCCTTCTCTTCTTCAAGATCTGTGTCTGCTGAAGAAAGTGTTTCACACATTAAGTCCCACATCATCATCTCCTCCTATACCTTTTACTTCTGATATCAACTTTGGAAGTAAACATTTTGCAAGTATGTCAGATATAAGTAGAATATCTTTTGAACTGCGCTTAGAAATTGTGGAAAGTTACTCAGAATTTCTGGTAAGTATTCAAGTATAGTAGTTTTAATATGTTAGTTACTAATTTTTTTATTATTCACTAATCCTGACACTCCCCCCCTTTTAGTCCAGATTAATGAGTTTTCACTGCACATTGATTCACAGAATATGCCTGCATTTACCAATTATGTTTACTAACATGATCATAGCCACCTGAAGCCTTGAAAACATTGTGGATGGTAGAATAGTTATGTACTTTCAGGGAGGCATTTTATGTTATTGGTATAAGTTATGCCCTTTTAATTTCATAAAGATTCCAAAATTCATTATTTTAAAGATTTACACATAGTTCAATTGCAAGGCTTGACATGAAGCAGTGTATCAGCAGAGATCAATCGGATATTGATTGTTCACTTAGTTATACTGACTACACATAGTTGTTCAGAACATAGTGAACATGTCAGTATCAGGCAAGCACCAAATATTGTTAGTAGGCCATGAATGCTTCCTTCCATATCTTTTCCAATTTATCTTCCTTTTTCTGTGTTATATAACCTGTACAGTTGAGAAAATGTCATTTTAGAATCAGATCTTTTTTGTTCTTATGCCTTTATGTGATGCAAACACTGTCCACTCCTTTCATAAAACAGTGAACTTCACACTACACTGTTGTAATCAGCAACATTTTGGATTAGTTTACAGTAAATATTCATGTATTTATAGCTACTAAAAGAGCACTATATGCCTCCTCTGCCAGAACTTCCTCTTCTAAAATGTATTCATATAATCTGTATAAATCAAATTACAAAGAGCATTTCTTGCTTAGGGCAGTGCAGATGTGTACTTACTCTCATTGTAGGAACTTAAATTGCTTTGTACGTGACATTACATGTGCATGTTGTTGTGAACTTAAGAATGTGTGTTTACATGTCTGCAGAAAGCAGTTTTGCAAAGATTTCTGAGTTAACCTGGTCTTATTTCAAGCGTACATAACATCCAGAGAGATCTGTTATGGCCTTATTGCTGCCTGTTGTAGAGTGAGATGCTGGCTGGTGGGCAGCTTCTCCCACACTCAAATTATTTTTAGAAAAGCCTTACTTTACATTCAAGAACATTACCTCATACAGACTTCATAAATGTGTGGCACACATTAGGAACTCTACTTTCTGTCATTCCTAGAAAATCGTTCTGGAATTCAATTTATAATGCCCCAAATATGTGTGAATTATTTCTATAGGCTTTGTTTCAAGCCTACTCACATGAATTTCACTCACATTCACATCCATAGAATGTGATTGACAGAGTCCTATAATGAGTATTCATTTATCAAAAGTATTCCATACAGCCCACACTGAACTGTTCTGCAGTGTGCTACTTTGATGGAACTCTACCCTCAGCTGCTTTAAGTAAAATTTTTTGCAGGCATACAGGTGTCACTGCTGTATCGGGTAAACATGACTGATTAGATTTAACCTTCCCAAATGGCACCCACAGGCACATTACTATCATTATTAGCCAGGAAACAGGAATAAGTAATTATAGAGCATGACATAACAAAGAATTTATCTTTATTACTGAATGTAGTTTATGGACGTCAATATACAGTAAGAAGGTAAGCAAAGCAGTCTCACACTACATACCAGGTGGTGCTTAAGGGGATAGGAGGGAGAGATCTTACTTGTTCTTTACCTTGAAACATGATGGGGGTGAGTGGCCAGACTTTACCTCCAGGGAAAGGATCCCTGGTATGCAGAGCTGGTGTGGATGCAGAGGCTAGAACAAAAATCCTTTGCCCCTGCCACAGATCAAAGACCAATAATCCAGTCTACTGTCACACTATACTGACTAAGCTATGCATGCTCCTGTCAGTATTCAGCACACTGATCACTAATACTCCCTGGAAAGTGAAGTTTTTATTCATGACACAATCTATTAACTTAGTAAATTTTTATTTTTAATTTCAGGTGATGATCTATAAAATTTTCACAACAATCTTTCTTAAATACATAGTAAAAGCAAAAGGCACTTATTCTTGCAAAAACAAAATTTTATACCTAGAGGACTTAATACACTTTATAAAATTTGACACTTGGCAAATACACTCAACATGACAGGTAATATAGGAATCACACTCCTTCAACCTATTCTACTCTCATAAATATATGTACATTTTTACTTATTTCAACAACCAGGTGCAGGATGAGAACACAACACACAAATAGAGAGACATTCAACTTATCTACCAAGAAATCTTCTCAGAGCCTTGGTGTTGAACCTGTACTTTAAAACAAAAGGCATAGCACCATATTTTATTGTTATAATATTCTACACTACTGAGCAGCAGATATAGACTGCTGGTACGGTCACTGCTATTCTGACATTAATCTACCATATTGGAATAGTAAGCAGCAAGTAGAATTGCGCTTTGATATTCTAAACACCTTCATTATGGTACTAATTTGTTATATATTCTAAATTAGTTAATAAACACTGCTAGCAATTGTAGTTTATTTATTGTACATTTTAACCTCCTATTTGTCTTCATGCATGTTACCAAAACATGACATTAAATATATGCTTAAAATTTTTATTTATAATGCATATCATTTCTAAGGATAAGGGACTAGAAAAGAAATTTTAAACTGTCATTCTCCTCAGAAACAAAATTACTACACATAATCAAAATCATGCATTAAATAAGGATCAGAGTTATGAGAAACCTTTACAAATGTCAAAATTTCCAACAGTATAAAATGTATCCAATAATATGTATGAATGCAAGTTCATGTCAATTACACATCATATGAATCTCAAAGAAAGGGATTTAACTTTAAAATTGTTCTGCTCCATAAGACAACCACACAGTAAAAATTACTCCATAAAGGCATACAATCTTGTCCACTAAAACTACAAAATATAGAACAGCAAAAAAGAGAAAAAGTATCTTAAATTTCTTTCCACCTAACCCACTTAAAATACTGCCAAACAATCTTCTGTGTTACTTTAATGCCAGTGTAAAACAAAAATTTCTGGCACTGATTTTGGCTACTTAAATACATTCTCAGCTATTATGAAGTTACATAAAACTATTTATACAAACTAGATACAAGTTACATGATCTTGCTGTCATGTGACATTTTATATTACTGCAACAACTTGTGCTGCACTGTGAGTCATATAAATAAGAAATCATCTGGAATCTTTTATGAAGAAATGACATACCAGTTTTGTGAATATGACTTTATACCAATACTGTTGCAACAGATGGAGGACAAACCTTTGCCTTACATTTAAATATTAATAATAAATTATATTACTATATACAAACACATATTTGGCTAATGGAGCTCTTCTGCATCATCATTTTGACAGTTTGCTTATGACCCGGATCAAAGCACCATTTTCATCCTTTAATCTCTGGTTTTCACTTTTGAATTGCTCCAGCAACTGAAAAACAAATATATATATATATATACATTTACATTACAATTCTACCACAAGATTCCCATCATCTCTCACAAAGTCCTGTCTTACTGCCTAAGAGCAACATAGTAAGAAAGAACATAAAAAGCATTTACAAGGCAACTTCAAGTGCTGCTGCTGTTATTGTTTGTGTGATGGGGGTATGGGGTTCCAAGACCTTCTCTCAGGATACCATTTTTCCTATGGCTTGTACATATGCCATGAGTTTTTTTTAAAGAATAGCTTTCTGCTGGAAGCTTTTAACACAACACTGTGTACCATTTCTACAGTTAAATTCTAAAAATTAATAAAACTGAAACAAAATTACAAGAATAATGCTATGTGCTTCCCAACTCATTTTATTTTATAATAAATGCAACCTAAGCTTGAAGCATGCCCTCAAACATGCCATCAATTTTCCCCTGCCTCAAAAACAGTAAATATGTTTGAACATAAATAAAAAACAAAATACATAAATGTAATGCTATTGGAACTAATAGTTCAGGTGTGTAATGTTTTAGGCACAACAAATTACTTGGAGCTGGGGGGACTCTAATAATGTTGCACTTGGGCTTCATTCTGTAAACATCAAATATCTAAACTTACAATACATCTGAAAAGAGACTATTTTAAGCCAACGTAACAGTTTCCAGTGGATTTTTCACTTAGCTTAGCCATGTCTGCATGTTCACATTAAAAACTCAAGTATGTTTCTCTAAAATGCTGGTACATAGTCAAAGACTACGTGTTGCAATGACCCAAAACATTTTTATTTTAATATATCTATTACCTACAAGAAATTTAATATAATATATTTACATTAATACTTAAATGAAAATGGCAAATTCTGAACTGTAGCATATGTAAGAAGTCAAATCACACACATTTTAATATATATGGATAACATTCTAGACACCCAATTCATGGCAGTCAACAGTTAGGCACCAAACAAGATATTCTCATCATACTGAAGGATTGGAACATAAAAAAGTTGTCATACAAGTCTGAACTCATAATCAGAGTAGATATAGTTAGACAGATATAGATGGCCAAATATGCAAAGATTAATTCAGTATACTATCATACTTATTTAGAGTAGACCCAACTAATTATGGTTTCTCAAAAACCTTGCATACCGTGTAGGGTATTGGAATATAAAACAAGCATACAAACAAAACTGTTTACACTTTGAAGGACAACTAATGCCAAACGCATTTTGACCTCGAGAGGTAATGATGACCTCTTGAGGTCAAAACACGTTTGACATTAGTTGTCCTTCAAAGTGTAAACAGTTTTGTTTGTATGCTTGTTTTATAATTATGGTTTCTTAAAAGTTCTGTATAATAACATTCTGTTCATCACAGAATATGGAATGTGCATAACTAGTATGGGACAGACCTTCATTATACAGCTCATCTAAAATTATCCAAGCCATGCAAACATCCTCTCCCTATATTATCTGCCAAGTACGATAAATCATTACTTCCCATTGTTGGTGTACTCTACTGTTCTACACTGCATGCATTATAATAACTACAAACTCACAGGATTAAACTGCAGGAAAGTAACACTTAAAACATGAATTTGAATTATTGTAAATTGCACAATCTTTAATACATGAAGTAAATTTTATAATAATTAAAATGCAGTAGTCATGTTAACTAACGGGTCAAAATAGGGCATGCACAAGCAAATGTTTCTAATATCTGTTATGCAATAATTACAAAAAAGTATAAGTCTGAAACTTCCCTTGCAACATTACTAGTGATGAACTCCCAAAATTCCTAGACAGAACTTCCATAGAATTATTTTCAGCAATATATGCAGAGATGGAAAAGAAGGTGAAATGCATGTATAGTCATCAGGTTATCATACTCACAAATGGTTAGTGACAATACATATAAATTGCACAAAACAAGAGTGGTTCATGTTTTTTGTATGCTTGGTGTCAAACACTGTTGCAATTCCAAGAGTAAAATGAATTTTTATTCATGTTTTTTGTATGGTGCTTTATCCAGTTAATATAAGATTTGTTTCTGTAGAATTAGTGCATTAAAATTAAATAATACCAACACAACATGACAATGGCATCATGTCCATCACTGTGCCACTGATAAATGTAAAATGATGTGTAATTAGTCCCACTGTATATTTTAGTTAAACTGAAATACTTTATATGTAATATATTACTTTGGAATTAACACATACACATTGTGACAATTCCTTGTGAAGACCCAAGTATAATGAAAAGGGCCCCTCTGAAGAAAAAGTGAAAAAAAGAGCTGCATCTGTTTCTGTTACATGCATCTTGTGTTAGCAATGAATCTGCCCTGAAACGCTTTAATACAAAAATTTTGTAGTTCCCATTAAAATATTTTACATGATACCACTCAATTCCTATACTTATTATAGTCCTACTATGGTCATATAACCTTACTGGCTATAAATCAAGTCAAATACATTAGAAAAGTGCCTGATCTTTGCAACACAGGTCACACCTAATTTTAGATTTTGAAATGGAATAATGGTTTAACAAATGCTTCTGATGTAAATTGTACCCACTAATGGGATGAACATTCTATGTCATGCACATTTTATTATTACGGTATAATGTTCTTACGATGACAAAGTCCAATAGGAAAGATTAATATACAAAAGAAGTCTGTTTGTAATATGTACTGCTTTTTACAAATCTTATTTATTCACACTCAAGTTTCAATAAAACACAGTACATTAAGAATAATATAAAATCCATACTCTTTATAGCCTCTTCTTTCCATTATTTACAAGTTATTCATAGAATAACATAAATACTAGCCATACCATACTTAGTTGAAATTATGGCAGCTCAGCAAATACAGATTTATGCAGTTTGTTGAGTAGTAGGTAAAGGCTAAGTCTGAAGTTTTCTGATAATGTGTGTTATAATGTGTAAAATCCTTGGTAGGATTTGAGGTTTTCACAGTGGAGGTAGCAAGGACCTCTTAAATGTCAGTAAACTTCAAACAGACTACATGGTGCAACAACCCAGAAGACAGCCATCTTCTGTAAAATCCTTCATTTGGACTTTGTCCACCATCTAAATCATGAAGTTATAAATTATATTTTGAAAGTTGGGTTCTGCTTGTCATCAAGCAAAAACAGGAGAAGAGGACAGAAAACCTTTTAGTTGGGTCCCCTGGTTGAGCTAGCCTCAGGCCTGGTCCTGGACCCTCTTCAACCCTTTTTACCTGATAACAGAAGCAGAATCCATCTTTCAAAATGTCATATAACAATTTTACAACTATTTATGGATGAAGTCAAAAAGAATTTTACACAGTGGATAAAAACTTTGTTTTTCTGGCTCCTATCAATTTTACTCTCCCATGCAGAGCCATACACAACACAACTTAGGCACTCAATTAACCAGCAGGACAAAATATAGTTGTCTTCAATGACAAGAATTTAAGAATGGCTCAATATTCAAGATACTGATTGCGTTCAATTTAGCTGTGTAATGAAACATGTGGGTTTCTTATAAAATATATTTGTAAATCATGTGCCTTGAAGAAAACAGTGCTGTAAGTTTTAAGAAAAATGTTCTGGTTTTAAAGTATAGAAACAGGAGCAGTATTCCATATAAGATGTTCAGGGTTTCAGTTAAAGAAAATCTACAAATGGTATCTTGTAACCAAAGAGACATTAGAAGATAACTCTAATTAGATGTCACAACAAAACTACACTTACAAACTCCTACATCTACAGACTTTGAAGCAATAATTTAGCATTTTATGCGGTTTCAAGAACCAAGGGTCAGTGGGCTTAATAATACATTACTTTTCTTTTTTTAAAGGTACGGTTTGCTTTATGTGCTAGATGAAGAGTTAAAACAGTCCACATCTCAATGAAGGCCATAAAGTTCCTTTGCATGATCTGATGTGCAATAAAAGGGGCCTATGTTTTCTTAACATACCATGAATTCCAAATGCTACATTAGATTCATTATAGGACCATTCTTCAATGAACTGACTGAAAAAGAGAAAACTTATGGACATCTTATACAGAACAATCCTACAGAACTAAGTATAAATAACTCTATGAGGGCACTAGCTTAAACACAGCAAACTTATAAAGATGAAGACTGATGTCTAACAACTTGCAGATTTAAATCCAAGTAACTTTACATATGGGTAATACTGAAAGGCAAAATATGTGTGAACAATCCTCATTCAGTGTACAAGCAGGAAGACAGGATAGCACTCAAGACATTTCTGTTCTTTGCCTTCATCAAGCTTCCTACAGACACACAAAAATTCATTCTGTGGTTCTGAAATTACATTTTACAAAACTTTCAGAGTAATGATGAGAAACTGAATGCATGATCAATTTAACAAAAAATAAAATAAATGTTGAATTACTCACTGCAAAGTAAAACATAACTTACTGACCTGAAGGCAGTATTAAAGCAAGTGACAGATATTTCTCACTTGACAGAAATAAAACAAGTAGTACTAAATGTTAACAGTTACCACAGAAACTTACTGATTTAAAACAGAAATTCATCACATAATTACAGAAACTCTTAGTGAAGTATTGTTTATTCATATGAATTCTTTACCTACTACAGCAAAAGAACTATATTCCATCAGCACTCTACAACAGTGATGAAAACTAAGAAAGGCATGACAAGAAATATGCAGCTGCAGCAGGCTTGATGACAAAGTTCTAGTTCAGTAGTCAAAAACAAATGTAATATAACTACTAGTAAGGCTCTGTACTGTTTGTTCTACCTTCAGTAACGATATGGGAGAGCTTGGTGTTAGAGAGGGAGGTAATTTATATAGAAAATGCAAAGACTGATATTTTAGTACAAGGTGACATGGGCATGGGAATGTGTGATCCATTAGTGGCATGCTTATGATTTCCCATATTCACATATAACACAGAAACAACAGTCTGGAAATGAAAATACAATATATTCAGTGTGCATTTATATTAAACCTATTCAAAACATTTACTACTTTGCTTATTAAAATTATGTTAAGTGTGCTGCATTTAAATCTACACCTACCGAATGACACAAAGAGGATGAAAAAAATGATGTCAATATTTGGTTTAACACACTTTTTGAAATAAGCAATTTATATGAATGTTCTGTCATGCCAGCTTATAATTTTCAAATGCAAATATTTGAAAAATTATATTACAGGCCTCCTTTGTGCCAGTAGCAAATTTCATACTGGAAGTAAAATTTCAAAGCTGAGTTTTGAGTAAATTTATGATTACAAACTAAAAACAGGTGGCCAACACATCTCATTTTGTTATCAAATACTTTCTATCACAAAACAGAAGGTGATCTCGTGTTATTTATTTAAGAGTTTAACTACACTCAGCAGCACACAATACCTATTCATAGAACAAAATCTTGCAACAGTACTTCTTCACATTTATGACATTTAAACTCTGATCAGGCTCAGCATAATGACTGTTTTCTATCGAGAGGTTCTTCAGCATATCTAAAGCATACTGAGACAGTACCTCAAAACAGGCCACATCAATGTGTGAGATTGGAGGGTCCCATGACAGTGAAGATGATAACGTTGTTCATCTGGGTTGTAATGCCATCAGTATCACAATCAAGAACAACATTGTCAGGTCATATAATTTTCTGTGACTGCATGCAAGTATGTATGCTACACAAGTATCTCTCATCTTTAAGAACACTTTCAGAAGGGAAGGCATCCCTCAATCTTGTGAGATTATATGTGCTGCACTACACAAAAAAATCTTGAAATATTTTGATGCTTTCCATAGTATTCATTCACGTATACATGACATCACTAAGCTTTCCATTGTGTGCATTCACAGTCTCGATCAAGTTAACCTGAATGGCTTGCAGAGTTAAATGTCTTACTTATCATGAAGTATGTGCTGTTTCTAAGAAGAGGTTGTAGTATTTGCAACTTCAGTATATTGCATAATACAACCAATGAATGTGGCATGAATAAATTTCTATTATTATTGTTTAAATGTAGCGATGGATAAAATAATTAAGGTTTGCTATGTTTTCATGCCAATGTGCTGTACCAAACTACCAAACTTTTAAAAGCAAATAATTTTTAAGGTATAGCAATTGCATATTTAACATATCTCCTGTCACGGGCCACTGTTCCTAATATGCTTGTTAATCACACACTGCTGAATGAACTAGCCAGCGAGCGACACAGCACATGCGGATGCGGACAGTCATGAGCAAGGTGCAACATTTGTTTTTTTACCTATTTTGTGGCATTGGCGGAATTGGTCAGTTTCGACACCACCCGGGTCAAAGCCCGGTTTTCCGCTTTCAACCTTTCGTTTTCACCTTTGAGTTTTTGTAATTGCTGGAAAGAGTAAACATTTAAAAAACATCTTACCTGTCTCAAATATGACACATTTTAAATAAGATCTTTGGCATTAATTTTAAGACACTGTGAAAGACAGAAATAATATGTACCAAATAATGCCTCTGACACTCTCAAACAGTGTGTAAGGGGAATCTAAAAGATACTTTCAATACTTATAAAGAAACTGAACTAGTGAAAACATTATATGATAAAGAAAATATTTTGGCCTACAAATACATCAATTAACCATGCTTCACAATTCAATTGTTCCATTATCAAAACTATATCCACATTTCCACAAATCTCTTTCCATCTACATAAAATACACTAAAAAAGACTGGCAAGAGCAGTGAAAATACAATGGGGAGGAATAAATAACTGGTGTGCATCTTAAATAATATCAGTGCCATAATATTTCACTGGATGTACAAGAGAGTATTTTGAGAAACACGTAATCAAAAATACACTGAAAGAGAATGAGACTTGTTTAAAATAATAACGAATATACAGTCACATAATTTTATTACAAATATGCACTGTTAGTATCGGGGAATGTACTTTAACCCATTCCAGTCCAGCACTCACACCAATATACAAGTTAACATGTGTGCAACAATGGAATGTAAAGGTTCTTTCTAATATTCAGTCAAGATGGTGTGCAGAAATATACATTTAATGAAATTTCCTTTTAAATGACAAACATGTTTCCCAGTGGCCATAATGATACTGAAACCAACTTGCAAGCAAATACTGAGTAAAATTTCTAAGTACGGCCTCAGGTTTCATTTTCATTTTTACTCTTCTAGTATATTTAACAGTATTATTCATTAAGCCAAAGACAAGCTGAATTCTTTTTACCTTTCAAACATTATAATGCACTATAACTTAACAATTTTGATTCAATTCTTTAAAATTCACTGGAATGCATTCTATCTTGAACAAATGAATAAATAAATAAAAGAATGAAGTATTGATTCTGAACATCCCTAAATAACAGCTCTATCATTGCTACCACACAGCAAATATTAATAATATAGGAATGTTACATTCACTTACTAAATCTTGCCAATTATGTTGAAGTATACCATAAATAACAAAACGTTATGTTAAAAATGGTATCACACAGAACGGATTTTGTTCATGCTCTGATAAATAATTCTTCCATAATTACATCAGTGAAGATTTGTCAGGTAATTCATAAAAGACTTCAATACAATGACAGATAAAATGCAATAAAATAAAAGAATACATACCTAGTGAAATCTGTACAATCCCCTAAGCTGAATAATGCAAATTAATCTCCTATTAGTTGCTACTGTCACACATATTCTTGTACTGACTACTACAGTTCCATGCCAATTCAAAACAATGGCAATAATTTAAACACAGCTCTGACAACACAAGTACTCAGGAATTATATTTTCATTTAAAAGTAACAAAACTTTGACACATCCTACAGAACTACTACAGCAAATTACATGGACTGGGAAGAGAACCAACCAAGGGCATACACACTAAAACATATGCAGGCATGCGCGCACACACACTCTCACACAACCCATAAACTATGTTCTGGTACAAATAAAACTATCCAAAACCAACACATTAACATATGTTTTCAGACAAGATTTAGCCAATATAAAAAGTAATTTGAAAATTAATTTATGCAACAAAACATAAAAGTTATAGCCAGGAGCAGACAGACAAAACTTTGGCTGGGAAAGATGAACTAAAAATCAGTATCAAAATTAGCAATAGCTAAGAAGTTCCATGCTAATAGCAAGACCAGGACATGGGGGTCCACTGTCCACGTAAGTGTGTTTATATTATGATGATAGTTATAATAAAACTCCATTTGTTTTTTCAACCAATTAAGTGTACTGCATTTACAGATTTAATCTATATTTTAAAGGCTGTTTCCACCTTGGTCATACTCCTTTGACATATAATGTTGAGAAATATGTAGTCCAATGCCATTATGCATTCAGGTAAACACTTGTACTAATTATTTCCTGCCTATATGATTAACATAGCATATCTCAGGAAGAAGCAATTATCTTTTTTTCCCAAATGAATTAGCATGCCTCAGCAGCGAGAAACAAATGGAAAAGGAAGAGCACTACATTAAATATAAATTTAGTCTTAGTAAGCAAAAACAAATCTATGTAAAAAAATTAGATCATTGTGGAAGAAATCTTTGTCAAAGTGCAGATAATGTTCCAACAAGACAAAATAGATATATAAGTCTTTTGACATGCAATTAATGAAAGTCTTCTTAGTATGCTGGTATATTTCAAAGTAGAAGCAGAAGGCTACAGCCTGCTATGGGCATGATTCCAAGCCAGTTCTATTTACACATCTTTGCCACTAACCTCCCAAAGATCTATTAGAAAATGTATCCTTATGTAATAAACACATCAAATATCACAAAAACTCATGTTTATTAACACAAAGAAACTTTTACCCACAAAAGTGTTATGTATCATGTTTCAAAAAATCTGTCAAAGCACTCAAAACAATTATGGTGACAATGCACAACGATTGCAGTGTGCTCACTCTGTTATGCCTTCAGATTTTCAGTTTGTGAATGTTAATGTCTGATGTTCTATTATAAACAGAGGCGTATAAGCAAAGGTCTTCAGCAGAAAAAAAAGAACACTGGTCTGATTAATGCTGTTTAAGAAAAATACAAAATTGAATTAAACCAATTACATCAATACGAACGATGACCATTAAAATTGTTTGATGTGAATGAAAATTGAAATGATTTAATTTACATGCCCCATCATCAAATCTCATGAAAATCTGCTCACCTGTTCTCAAGTTATAAGTTGAAACAGACAGAAGAAGATATTTTAATAGGCACTTCAGGGGAATGCAAATGAAACTAAAAATAACTGACAAAATGTAGACTATGTTAGTGAAAACTGGACATTGTTTCAGAGGTCCTTACTGCCTACAGCAGTAGGGTGATAGTAACAAATTGCCCAGATGATGGAGGCAGCAAGGACATCTGAAACACAGATAGATAAACTTCTACCAGATTACATGGTCCTACAACCTAGAAGACAGCCATGTTCTGAATATAAAGTTATGCACAGGCTATTTTTAGTACAGAATGAGATCCACAATTCCACAAGGAGTGGAAACAGAAGGCAAACTGCAGCCTAAATAGTCATATCAAAGTAGAGACAAGCTTGTGGACAAGGCAAGGCAGTTACATGATTAAATATTGTAATTATGCAAGCAAACATTTACTTCACTTAAATCTTTACAGAGATATCTGGCACTTGATTATTTTCCATTTTAGGCAACTAACCAAATGGCCAGATTTTCATGAAACTTGATATATATCATGTCCAACGAGGATACCCCATCTTTGTATCATTTAATTTCTTGCCAACAATAATACTGACTTGACAACTACACGTACTTCCAAAGTAGAAGTAACACAACACTTGTGGCACGGTCCTGAAATTTTGCGTACTAATCAATTTAAAAGAATACACAACTTTTTAAAGTGATTTTTGCTGTAGGATGCAAAATGTGAAGCCATGGAAAGTCTATTTAGCTTTCTATTGATGGTGATAACTAATGAACCCCGTAGCTCAGCATGTGAAGTTTTGGAGATAAATCAGTAACATATATTAAAAACCTGGTGGTTGTCCTAAACATCAATGCTCTATCTGGGAACACTGAATAATAATAATAATACACACGTGTATTCATGGAAATTATGCAGAGAAATGGAGTACTAAACTGTGTAAAAATTTACATTTCTTGCTATCTCATCACGCAGAATGAACCATAAGAACAAAGGCTGTTATTTTAAATTTATTCCAAAACTATTGTTATACAGAGAATTTTGTTACTGAGAGGTTTGAAGAACAGAGGACTTCTTGTATCTCTATACCTGTTCACCTGGTTGAGACACTCCAGATGAAACCAAATGATGTCAATTTCAAGGGAAACTTTAAATTTACATCATGCATAATACTCACTCAACAGTTTCAGAAAATATACAAATAAGTTAAGAACAGTATAATATACACCCAATGCTGTCAAATATTCAACATGCTTACATTCTGCAGTATTAACTGTATCAATATGTTCCTAAAATTAACAGTAAAAATGAAGCCAGATATGCTGTGCTGAGGGACTCTCTGTATTCATGAGCTGAAACTGGTAAGGAAATTAACACACAGTACTAACCTTTAATTCCTCTTCCATCTCAGATAATTTTCGCTCCATTCCCCTCCTTTCACGTTTTTCCAGTTCAGTTAAGGAATTTTTTGCAGTCTGTAAAATTAAAAAAATAATTACACACATATATATATGTAATGAAACTTACAAAAAATTGAGCATTTATGTGAGTTTTATTTACAGCAATGTTCTAATATGAAGCGCACAAAAGTTCATATTCAAACTCATGAACATATACAAACATTAAGTGCAATTTCCATACTCCTTGAATTAAAACAGTATCATGTCTCAAATATCAGTAACATTTATGCACAAACTTTGAAGTCAGTCCAAGATTCCTAATTTACAAGATATGTTTAGGTACTTCATATACCACATCTATGCAACTGTCATCTCTCTATAATGGCTGCAAACCAATTTTTTAATTATCTTTCTAAAACTTCTTGGAAGGTATGTGATAAGCTTGAGTAAGAAACCTCACTTGCTCTGCATGGATATGGTTATAATCCCTTCATTTCTGCATCTAATAATTAACTGCCTACTTTAACTTAAATATTATTTTCCATCTAAGCCAATGTCTTCCGAGTGATCTGTTCCCTTCAGACAAAATTCTGAATACATTAAATATAATCTAAATGCACTACATACATGCCCTGCCTCTTTGTGAATAATCATATTACTTCCTTGTATTTCATTAATATATACCACACTGAAAAATGTATCAAACAGAAATTACACATCTTAATGGGATCTACATTTCTATTATGTACCATACTTTGAAGTACAACAGTCAGATTTTAACTTAAATAGGGACTGTACTGCAGTTACAGACCAAATCTCACCCAAAATATTTTAGTGTAAACCAAAATTTATAAAATTTAATCAAATTTTCAAATACTCACAGCAACAGATAATTTATCTAGCTGACATTTTCTTTCATTCAAATCTTCTTCAGTCTTCTTTAGCTTCTCTCTCAGTCGTTCATTCTCAGCCATAGACTCCTCATACAGCTGAAACAATTAAGTTCAGTCATGTCACATGTAGATGGGTGGTGGATACCTGCTGAGGTTGCAGTAAGTGATATAATGTCACTGCACATCCTGGAAGACAATCAGAATGTGCAAGACTGCATCATGTTGGGTCCTCCATCACCTCTCTCAAAGAGAATGGAATGCAT